AGCTTCGGCTTTCAGCACGGCTCAGCCGAGCCGATCCATATGTGTTCGGCTCGGCTGAGCCGCTCGGCCATGATCGGGAGCTGTACGGGCTATTATGAATAGCCCGTACAGCACCCCTTCGGTTCTACTGAACTGAAGGGGTCCTGGAGCCGAAGCTAGCCGAAGGATCGGCCGAAGCTACGGCCAGATCCTTCGGCAGCTTCGTGAATAGACCCCATGATGTTTGGGGGTTTTAAGTAATTTTCAGGCCTAAAATGTGGAATATAACATGTGTGCAAAAAAATAAAAAAAGGCCTCAATCATGATGGGGTTAATATGGGTAATGGTTACACATTTGAGGGCTAAAGATATGCATCCAAAATACTCAATTTAAGATGACAGGTAACTGGGGAAATCGGCGCTAGAAAAGAATCAGATGTATTTGCAAATCAAAGCCCTAATAGCAGAACACAATACTACTTTCTAGTTAGCAAGAAGTATTTGTTTGGGGTTTTTTTTAATAACATTAATGCTTTTTTTCACTTCAGTCATACAAACATGTTTTTCACTGTCCTTGCACATAATGGAGTATTCAAATTGAATAGCCACTAATCTAAGTAAACCTTATCTACTCCTTAAATAAATCAACATAATAAATGTGCTCTCATAATAAAAAAATATGGCCTAATTTTGAATGTGCAGTTCAATTTTGGTCCCATTTTATCAAATAGGTTGCCATAGAACTGACAACATTTCTGACAAGGGCAACTAAATTAACCACTTCTGGACCAATTATATGCTTGGCAGGGACTCAGTTAAGTGTACAGACCATATCAAATTCATCCTGCAATGCCCCACTTCACAACCGCATGCTCTGCCAGTACCCACTGCCAATTTAACAATGGTCTTCCTGGTCAGTATATAAGAATAGCTACAGCTATACTGATCACTGCAGTAAGCCACACAGCTATCATGGGTAGTAAGAATGCAACCTTTTTGGTACTGCCACACCGTAATGGGTTTCATGCACATGATAGGAATTTTCTATTAGTTTGATGTGTACCTGTGTAAGCAATGTATCTTTCATTTTCATTATCATTTAACAGACAGCAAAATCTACATAGACAGCAGGTTTGTATCCCAAAAACTCTTATCGTGTGTCAGAAGAGGATCTACACATGCATAGCTCACACTGAGTACACAAAAACACATTAAAATAATAAACACCTCCAAAAAGCTCTCCACTATCTTTTTCAGTTGTGAGTGCCACATAGATTTGCAAAATACAAATTTTCTCCTAGAAAGTAGTTAGTTGGTTGGTGACTGCTGGTATTCTTGGTGTCTTGAAGACTAATTTACATTTAAATCCAGGTTTAAATTCAAATACACTAAAATAAAATTAGGCCAAATGATGGATGCAATGATCCTATTGAAGTGACTTTTTGCATGAGGTTTACAGTTAATTACAGAACTGTTTCATAAAGTTGTACCATTTATAGATGCTGGTCAAATTTTGTGAGCTGGATTAATAAACATGTGTTTAAGTTATGTGTTCTAGATCTTTATTTCTAGCCAGCAATTAATTAATGAATCACAAGACCTTTTTATGTAAGCTATCAAGCACAGTGTACATGGAAAGTCTTTGGATCAGGTACATGGCTTTTTGTAACAGGTAAATACTACTTATATTCCACTTAGTTTTTGTTTAGTTAATGCACCTATTTCCTTGTTTTAGTGCTGTTCCTTATTTCTTTTGAAAAAAATTATATTTTTATTGTATATTTCAAAAGATAAAACAAATTAAAAAACATATATATAACATAAAGGGAGGGGTGACAACATACACCTCCTTAAATAAATAGTTTGGAGTGATCCAAAAAATCAATGCACCAATATTACTAAGCATATTGTGAAAAGTTATATCTAGTATATATCCTGGGACCACTAAGTGATTACATATCTTAAACAAATAATTTCTCTTTTTGTAAAAAACTTAAATCAGAGTAGAAAAATGATTTAACTTAAATAACTTTTA